AGAGGGTAGTTTGAGCAGTATTGATGGTCAGCCGAGAATCCGGAGTTTGTAGAGAGCTGAGAGATCCAGAAAACGCACGTGCGGGGTATTTACAGAGAGGAGCAATGAGGAGGCAACAAAAATAGCGTATAAAATGTAGGCTGCGGGAAACAAACACTGAATGAAATCAAGAGAATAACCAAATCAAATTAGAAGCTTTTCCTTTTTGAGCACTTGTGACTGCCAAATGAGATACCAAGTCTCAAGTGAGTCCTAAAGGATAACACCTTTGATACCCATCTGTGTAATCAAAAGAGTTTGTGTATTCTTCTCTGGCCCAACACCTCTCACACCTCGACGCACGCGAAATGCACCTCACATTCTAGGTAACCAAGAAGATTCGAGGAATGAGAAAAAACATATGACTATGATTTAACTCAAATGTGGTTTTATAGTTCATGTGTACAAGGTGAACCTGGAGATCCCGATCGGAATCTCCTGGGGATCGATCAATTAATGTTTACTGTTCCGGATACGAGTCGATTCTGTTCAAACGGCATTTGCTTAATGAGTATGAGTATTCGATAGCTTATAGCTTAAATAAATTTATTTGTAGTGAACATAGCTGCTGTTTTGATCACGTACCCGCTATGTGAACTGAACATGTTTTGTCAATTCGTATGCAATAACTGCTGTTTGCTTGATGCAATGTGTTCTCTGTACCCGTTTTGAGGTGAGAGAGAGATCAAACACTTGGTGTTTTCACCGGAGGCCACAAAACCAGTTCTCTCAAAAGCAGGCTTCCTGTCGGTACCAGCGAGGTTCAGCTTTTTTACTGCATCTCTGTTCAGCGTACTAAGCTCATGCAAAAATGAAAGCGGAATAAATATCTTCATGTAAAGGTTTATTTATTCTGAGAAACAATCATGATACATCTGGTAGTGAAACATGATAAATCCCTGGCTGTTGCTGAGATTCATCGATTCTTTGAGCCCTAATTTTCATCAACCGATCACTGAATGCGATGAACATTTGATGCCAAGTTTTGGTGGAATCATTACTCAACGTATGAAGATTAATGAACACTCCGTTTTACTTGATCTCGAACCGCACCGGTCGTTCTCACTTGCATGCTTTGAGCCCCAGGGTCTGAGGTTCGAAGCCTGACAACGGCACCCAATGTTGTTGGTAGTCGGATACTTTCTCGTCAAGTTGGATATTGTGGGGCTTTATATGTGGTTCGCCACGGCAAGTCCAGAGGCCCAGATTACCAGTTTCGACGGCTGAACAGCCGGTTCACGTGACAAGGATGAATTAATAATTCTGTTATTTATCACATGTGTGACATTTAAAAAATAGGGTCATACATACTGAATGAAGTATTTTACCGGCCATTGCAGCTATTATATCCTCAAACAAGCGCTGCCAAAGAACTATTAGCGTCGTGTTGATCTTGCATTAAACACATATCTCTAACTGATATACTCGGTAAAACGCAACATCCCAATACGATCCTACACTACAGCTACAGCAATTTATTGCAACGTCGTTACCTCTTATTCAAACATATTACATTCTAATACAATGAGATTGAACCCTCGGGCAGCGGAGTGCGGGTACATTGCTTTACCGACTCTTCAACTTTTGTCCTCGAGACTCCAGGTCTTTCTATCGTTACCTAACCTGTGATTATCTAGCCTTAAAAATGATCCGACTAGATTGTGAGTAATGCCATAGGCGTGGTCAAATTATTACATTCTGTTGAAATCGATTCAACGTTTGTTTTTCGGATGAACATTGCAGTAGTTTTGATCAAAGCAAGGTATAAAATACCTAAAAGGCTTTCCTAAACTGATCGGTTGGTTGTATGACACAGAAAGACACAGAATTTTTTTGAACCAAATGTTGGACATATATTTATGAGTGAAAAATGTCCCCGTTGATTTGCTCATTAGAAATAATTTGAACTCAGATGTTCGTTTCTCATCGTTTATTTTAACGTTCAAAGAGCATTTTGAACCGGAATTTTGTGAACTAGTCACCTCTACTGATACTGTTAGCGCAGCTGTGGAAGAGAGATATAAAATTTGACACAATAACAGTTTCAGTTTACTTGAAAAATGCAACGGAATCAAATAGTTGAGAAGCGGTTCCGTTCAATCTTGCATGTGACCTGGGTAGTAAGAGAATCATGGCTACCGGAAATAAACGGTTCAAACGGATCTGGTACTAGTTAGATACTGGATTAGTGATTGGAAATCACTAACATTGTTGGTTCTGAGAAAATAAAACCATAGAATAAAGACCCAGGATATTGGTTCCTATGGGATCTGGTTAACATAAATGTTACTATTATAGGCCCTGATGCTAGCAAGTATTGAATTACTTTATCCCATTCATTTGGATTTATTTTTCAGCTCCCAGGAGATCGATGGCTCGTGAAGCAGTTCCGTTTGTACCAATGTTACATCCAAAACAACTGAAAGAGTTGGAACAATCGCCCGGTATGAGTCGACGGGCCAGTGCCCATGTGATATTTCCTGTAAGTGACAACCGGGAGAACAAATATTGGTGGTAGTGGTTGAGGATCAGAACCCTATAAACTTTGTGACTGTTTTCTTTGTGCAATTGAGCGGTTGTGGATGAACAAGTGAAAAAGAAAACCAGTGATTATGAAGCACCGTAGATTTCGCTTCACTATTACTTTAGGGGGCTACCACTAAAAATTTTACTCAATAATATTATTTTTGTGATGGCAGAGAAGTTCAAGTGAGGACCAGACAAACTTGCCAAGCGGTTGCTACATATTTGACCATGCTGGTGAATTCCAATTGTTTGCAAACTGTATCTTTAAATACCGGACTTCACGAACCAGTATGTGCCATTGTTATCTCTGTTTTAACATTCTGTTGTGTAACATCGGAAGCTAGACATTTCACCATGTTTACTTATTTGTCTATAGAGAGCAATTTGTAAAACAGCCAGGTACAACGCTGGGTTCCACTCTCGTAATTCTCTTCATGATTTAACCTTAGTTAACAATTCTCACTGGTGGGGTAGAGGGGGTTTGAATTTATTAACATATTCTCCCGGGGTATTGTTTTACAACCATTCCGGAAACTCAGGTCACTCACGAGCATAACTGAACAGTTGGTCCACATGCCTGTGCGGCTCCCCCTTCTGCTGTTTCTCGCACTGTGCAGCCTGTAATGAAAACACTGTCGGAATGTTTGGGAGCAGTTTTATATTTTTATTTTGGAACAGCGAAAACAAATTACGCCTCGAATGATGAAGACCTAATTGCAAGACAAATATGTTTAGTGAACATATGAGGGTAATATAAACTAGCTAAGCGAAATCAGATAGGTAAACTACAACTGTCATTAGTTTCTCAATGTAATTAGGTAGATTTGTGGTACGGATCCCACCCATGGTATAAGCACGGCACATACTCGCTGTGGATTCGAATAATGACCAGGGCTATTTGTCGGTCAAAACACCATATATCTGACTACCAGGCTAAATTAGACAACGCCTATGCGATTATTGATTAATTAAAAATTAAAAATATTATTGGGGATCCGCGACTCAGCTAACTAAGTAATCTGATGTCCAAGTTCAAAGAGGCTGTCTGTTGCTCTTAACCGATGAAGTACATACTAAAGTGTTTCCATAATCATATGCTTTGCAGCTTCCACCAGGTGCTCCGATCGACGTGACCAACAACCGAGCATTGGGGAATCGAGTTGCCGATAATGCAAACAATGCAAAGGAACCCTCGTCCAGTTCGACTGTGTCATTTTTCGGTTTGCAGTTACCCTCAGTTGGGCAGCTGCGCAGA